TAAATTGCCGTGAACACAGTCACTATTGCCATTTTGAAATACTTTCATACGCAAAAGCTCAAAACGGTAACAATATTATAAAATTGTTAATTAGAATAATATACTATTTAAATAAAAATATATATATAAGATGTTTTTATATTGTAAATAAAAAATAAATTTCAATACTAGTTTTAAGAATTAGCTTAAATTTAATTAGTTTAAACTTGAAATAATTTATTATTATTATTTTTTTGTATTATATACTTTATATAATTTATTATAAAATATTAATATAAGTAATAATAATAATAAAAAATCTTTATTAATAAAATATATCTTAATTCTTTTATTATAAATATTTTTTATTAAATTAATTATTAATTTAAAATTAATATTGCTTAAATTATTTAACAAGCAAATTTGATCATTAAACTTTTTTTAGCTTATTTTATATATTACTCTTAATTTTTATAAGCTTAAAAATAAAACATATTTTTTGTTTAATTAATTGCACGTATTTTTCAAGAAAAATATACTTTGCTTTTAACTCTTATTCTTTTTAAGCTAAAATAAAAAATATAATATATTTATAATTAATATAATCTAAATTTTGTAATTTTTATTTATAAATTGTTCAAAATATTTGATTTATTTATAAATTGTTCAAAATATTTGATTTATTTATAAATTGTTCAAAATATTTGATTTATTTATAATTAATTTAAAATTGCTTATTTTTAGCTTATAAATAACTTTATTTTGTTTATAATTATTTAAAAAAATAAAAATAACTATTATATAATTAAAGCTAATATTAAAAAAATTTTTAAATATTTTAATTTTTGATAAAAATAGATTAGATATAAATTTATAGAATTTCAGTAGACAAATTTGTTTGCTAAACCTGACGGTTTAAGAAATAATCACACACATAATTACTTAATATAGTTAAGCTTTTTTTCAATAATTAATTTTGACAAGTAATAGTGTAAATAATGAAAATGTTATAATTAAGAATACTTGCCAAAATTAGGAGATTTCAACAGATGCTAAAATTCTGAAACTGATGTAATTTGCTGAAATTTCACTTTTGGTATTTGGTAAAATAATTTTGGCAAGCATTCTTAATTCGTGATCCGCAAATAAAGGAAATTATCCTGGAAAGGAATTCCTAGGTATCACGATTTACTTTAGATGTTTGAAACTTACGTGGATTAATCTAAAAGTGATGTACATTTATAGGTGTTATAGAAGTTAAGACGTAGCGATACTTTAAGATGAATTCTAATTAATATAAAAAAATTCAATAATCGAGCAATGGTTAATTTATTTAAGCAATTTAATTATAACGATGATTAATTAATTAAATAACAATAAAAAGTGTGAAAGTTTCTAAGACGGTGAGATAAATTTTGCGATATATGTCAATTCCCATTGATAACTAAGACAAATCATTAAGTATAAATATTATTAATGATCTATTTTCTAAGAATTATTTGCGCCTTTGAATACAAATTCCAGTCACTATCTACTTATATTAAAGTCGCGATTCCTCTTTTGTAACGAGAATTGGCGGCAGATTTTCTTCGGCTATATGTTGTATATTTATAGAAGGAAAAATGAGAATTATATACAAAAAATTCAAATTGTTTTTTAAATTAAAAAAAATATGAATTAATTGAATTATATTAATGGTTAATAATGGTGATGATAATGATGATGATAATGACGACGACAGAGTATAATTTATTGAAAATTACTTTTTTTCGCAAGTTCTGAATTTTTTAGCTTTTTATAAAATAAAAGATAGGGTGTATCTGATTTATTATGTTCGCTAGTGGTCACGATTTGTTTAAAACTTATCGTGCTCACTGAACTATCGTTCAAACAATACCACGATCCATCCTCTTTATAAAATAATGATAATAATTATTAGTTAATAAAACATCGTATTGAAATAATAAAAAAAATAAAAGTTTACCTTCATCTTTTGCATAAGTATAATAATGTCCATATTCAGCTGAGAATCCTGAATGCACCACAATAGAAGCCAATGAATATCGTGTGATTGAAGGTTCTTGCGCAAATGTATTAAGTGCAGTCTCAGCTTCACTATCTCCATTTGTTTGTATTTGGTTTTTGTGTTGTTGATTATCCATACTTTCAGGATTTGGCATTGTCCCATCCTGATCCAAATCCACGTCTCCATCCCCATCTGGCACATCCATCCCATCTACGTTAATATACTCATCATAATTCGGAGATTCATCAACTTTTACATATCTATCGTCATCCATATTATCACTTGCATCAACAAGTTCTCGATCGTCATTCGTATTCTCACTTGTATCTCTTTTATCGTCATCCATATTCTCATTAGTATCTCTTTTATCGTCATCCATATTCTCACTTGTATCTCTTTTATCGTCATCCATATTCTCACTTGCATTTCTTTTACCGTCATCCGTATTCTCACTTGCATTTCTTTTACCGTCATCCGTATTCTCACTTGCGTCAATAAGTTGTCCTTTATCATCACTCATATTATCACTTGTATCTCTTTTGTCGTCATTTATATTAACACTTGTGTTTCTTTTATCATCATTCGCATTAGAACTTGTATTTCTTTTATCGTCATCCATATCCTCACTTGTATTTCTTTTATCGTCATCCATATCCTCACTTGTATTTCTTTTATCGTCATCCATATCCTCATTTGTATTTCTTTTATCATCCATATTCTCACTTGTACTTCTTTTATCGTCATCCATATTCTCATTTGCGTCTCTTTTATCATTAGCCATATTACCATTTACATCTCTTTTATCGTCATCCATATTATCACTTGCGTTAAGAAGTTCTTCTTTATCGTCCTTCATATCATCAATTACGTCTCTTTTATCGTCATCCATAGTATCATTTGCGTTTCTTTTATCGTCATCCATATCATCGCTCGCGTCAACAAGTTCTTCATCTGATTTTTCGTCTTTATTAACTTGTTCATAGTCATCTGATTTCTCATCTTCCTCCTTATCCATTTCGACTTCTACATATTCAGTACTTATACCCTATTTTTATATATTTAGGTAAATTATTAATAATTGATTATTACATATCTTAAACATATGCATATTTAAATAGGTTAATAAGAACTCACACTTTGAGAGACAGTCATATTTGTATTTGTCTCAGATTCGTCGTCCTCGTTTGAAACACATGTTTCTCCAGTAGCGTCCTATTTGTTAGTTATGTAAAGTCAAATATTGTAGTTTATGAATCGGAAATAACTAAAAATCTAACCTAAAGGCATAATGTATGTACACTTTGAGTGTTTGGCGAATTCATAACATTATCTTGATCCAAGGGTTCATATGACAGTTCGAGTGAATCTTGAATTACAATCTAATCATCAACGATTTTCCCAATGACAAAGAGAGATATAGTATAAATATATGAATTATCGAATTAAATGGCATTATGCAAGTAAGTATATATAATAATAATATACCGGTGTCCTTATCTTGATTCTGCGTTGCATGTCTCGGTCATACTCGAATCGATTCAATGTTAGAATTAAATATGTTGGTGGATCTACTATTCGCGTCGTCTGATGAAGATGATAATGATTATTACTAATGTCCCTCTTGATGAGCAGATAAAAAACACAAGATTGACGAAAAATACCTTAAAAGCATCGCGAAGTCCATGGCAGACATCACATGAATATTGATTATCTCCTTTTAGTTTCTCGGGTGACAGTAACTGTTTGATCATATCGGGGACTAACAGTTTATTATTATTCTTATCTGTAATACAAAATATGGTAAATATCAAGTGTGTTAATGACATAAAAGAAATTCGTTCATGATTCAAAACTTACTTGATCGAGTATCTAATTGAAGAGACAAAGTCAACTCATGAAACTCCTCCTTTATTTGATAAAAAAATTAATCTAAAGATTCGATAACAATCAAAGAATTTATTGATAATATTGATATGGATAATTTCGTACCAAAGTTTTGGATACACTGCCACAACTTAGACATCTTATCATATTTTGAAGTTTTCCTGTGAATGGAACGAGTGGGATATCAACTTCGGGAGCTGACGGAGGAGATTCCACTTCGATGTCTTCATAGTCTAGACGTCTTTTTTTACAACTGGGAACAGATTTAATCGCTTCATCTTCCATTTGACTAAATAATATTCTGAACGAAGAAAGGCAAAGATTCAATATCACCGATTACCAACCTAAGAAATAAAATAAAAATGTTTACTTCAGAAATTCATGGCAATCCTGTTGCCTTCCATCATTGAGCCAACTTGGAAGCGCCTATATTAAGAAATATAAGATCCTTGGTTCAGCAGAGAAATTCTCAAAAAGATAAAAGTTTAACAATCGGAGAAAGCAACAAATAACCTGTAACAATGACTTTGGCGAATACCAAGGTTTATTTGCTTCCGACATTGCGCTAAAGCATTGTTGTAAGGCGAAAGTCGTTGACGTGCGAGAAACCCTGAAGAACCAATTCACAAATAGGTTGTTTTTTGTTTAACCAATCTATGAAGGCATTCAAAAAAAAAAACATATTTCTTGGAAATCACTATCATTTCTCTACCTAGTGATACCCAAGACACGATCACGAAATTCTACCGAATTAAATAATGCCTTTGGCATATACGAAAATATGAGATTAAAAATTACAATCAAACAAATCAAAATGCTAATAATAGAGACCTGAAGTACGCTATTCATGAAGCATGTATTCCGAAGATTTTTAAGACCTGTTTTTGATTTCCGCTGTGGCTGTTGTCCTCTCTTATTGACTGGTGCTGATGCTGCTAGTTTTGTTTCTTTTTCTTCTCTATGGTTTCCTATTTAGTATGCGAGAACAGAAATGCCATCATTAATAATGATATCCTAATAATAAATTATCTTAAAACATTCATACCATTTTTATTTCCTATCGAAGTTCTGATAATTTGTTTTTCTTCCAATATTTTCTTTGCATCTAATGCGGAAATCCTTTTCTATTTTCAAAATAATATAAAACGCAATTTAATTCTTTATCATCAAAAATCTTTTGATGGATGAAGACAAATTACGACACATTACTACTTTTAAACTATATCAAATTGAAAAAAGAAATTAATTACCAGTCCGAGTTCTGTTATTTTTTCTTGAATATCTGAATAGACTTTTTGATTTGATGGAAAATGGACCATAAGGCATTGAGTTACTTCTGAAAGGTCGTTCAACAGATGTTGTTGATCCCCCTGTTTTAGATAACAGATATATGTTATTTAAATTATTATTAAATATATGTTAATTTATTATGCATGTACGTACCTCTTTTGCAATCAAGTCTAATCTGGGAATAATACTTTTGACAACAAGATTAAAAACTTTAGGCGAGTGTTGATATCTGTAGAGTAAACAGGTAGCAACTGGCATGACTTCTTCACGCAGGTCTTTAGTTTTTAATAAGAAGAACACTAAACAAATTCGAATGATATTTAGTAATTAATTAAAAAATTATTAAAATCAGAGAAGTAAATACTCACAGAATTGAATCCAAGAATCAGCGAGCTCCAAAACTAGGTCATATTTTTTAATTGCCACCATAGCATCCAATAACTCGACAGTCCAAATTCCAATATTTTTTACAAAAGGAAGCTCAAGCATTTTAATCATATTCTGTAACATCTCACCAAAGTCTACTTCTTTATCATGAGACATCTTTTGAATAAAAGGCAAAATAATATCTAAAAATGATATTCAGAAATCAAGTAAAGCATTTCATGAATAAATCAAAGACAAAAAACAAATTTATTTAAAAGGACATTCGCAATTGCTTTAGAGGATATACCTTGCTTGAGATTGTGTGGAATTCGACTAATCACTAGAGCTAATGATCCCGTGTTTATTTGATATTTTGCTGAGAGCCTTTTGAACACATCAACTAAAATGATTTGAAGATTGTCACTGTGTCATAAGTTTACACAAGATAATTAATAAATATTTTGAGCTCATTGTTATGGCACATTGAATTACAAAAAGAATGCGCGCTTACTGTTTGTAACGTTCAAATAATTCCATCGCAATTTCGAAAAATTTATATTCGGAATCTTTTATTTCACCAGGAGCTTTAAGAGTCAACCCACACACAATTGCCTAACAAAAACAATACGGGTTATGAATAAGTTTGAATGTATTTTCAATCGAACAAAAAAAGAAATTCAATAAGAATTCACCTCTAATACGATCTTAGGATCTTCGGGTAATGTCTGAGGCATTAAGGTGTACATATTGAATAATACTTCTAACCAATCAATCCTTGCTTTGACAGTTGGCAAATGTTTTGTTGCAATCAATTGTAATATTTGTAAATCTTCCTCTATCGCATTTTTGTATATTGGATTATTCGTTGCATTCCCTGGACATTAAATTGATAAAAAAAAACAAGATTAATGGTAACGAATCTGAAATTCAACAATGAAAAAATCATACGGATTTTTTATTTTTCCTTTCACCTTTTGATTTAATATATACAACTTTTATCATTGCCCTTAAAGTCTTGAAAAATGGAACCACCTTAATTACGAAATTTTTGTTAATTGTTTCAAAAGAATAGAAAAATACGAGGAGAAAGAATAAGCATACTTTTCTATTTGTCTCAAACTCGTGTCGTATTTTTTCCGTACTAAAATATTCAAAGAAAAACTCTACATTCTGATTCGATATTTTTTCAAGAATTTGTTCTGCGACATGCGCGTAAAGTCGCGGTTCTTGCTTCAAGAACATGAAGAAAAACAAGAATAAGGGTTAGGCATGGATGAAATAATCGAAATAACGCAGATATCTTAATAATGACGATCCAGACAATACCTCAAATATATAATTATAAGCCCTCTCGCACCACTCAACCCGCTCAGCTTCATCCAAAGTCGGAACTTTACTTAATATAATCTTCATGAGGAAATTTTTCTTGGTCTTCACAGGAAGGTTAGTTGCTAGTATACTCTTTAATATGTCAACAAAAGTTTCCCCCCTCCTATCCATAAAAATTAAAATTAAAGGGAAGCCTGTTGATTGAAAACCAACCGGGAGCTGTTTATATTAAAAGCCCGAAAAGTGAATTTCAAGTTTAACTAGAAAACCCTCTTTATTTCTTTCCTGTTACGTCAGTGATCACTTATTGGCTGGTATTTTTAATAAATACGTAAGAACCTTCTTATAAAAACTGACGATTCCACAAAATTATTGGATAAAAATGATTGAAATAGTTTGTAACGATCGTTTGGGCAAAAAAGTTCGAGTCAAGTGCAAGTAATGTATTAATTATATATGTTGGTTTTTTTTTTACAAAGAAGTTTTCTTAAACTTTGAGAATTGGTTCAAGATATTCAATTAATTGGTTTTTTTCTCCATAGTCCTGAAGATACTGTTGGAGAACTGAAAAAATTGATTGCAGCGCAGACGGGAACAAATGCACAAAAGATTATCTTAAAAAAATGGTAAATTATGGGATCTTTTCTATTAATTTCTCTATAATAGGTTTCTGATAATTTGTACATTTCTTTTTATATAGGTACACAGTGTTTAAGGATCATATCACTTTGGATGACTGTAATTATATTTATTTTATCTTGTTTCTTTAATTTTTTAGCGAATATTCTTCATTATAAATATACTAAAATTAACAGATGAAATCCACGATGGTATGAACCTCGAATTATATTATTCTTAACGTAATAATAATGATAATAAGTTTGACGCGCGTATTAAAGAACATTCTTTACGATGATGATGCGAGTGAAAGTTATCAAGTCTCATAATCGAACTTGATAATTTTGGTAGACTTTGGGAAGAGAATTGTGGTAGAAAAGTAGGGATGTTTGATGTGTTTTTATGTTAATATAATAATATCGTATGTATTAATTTAAAATATACTATAATAAAATTAATTGTATATTATTTATGACTGCTAGTTTAATAAATACTTACTCGGTATAATTTCATGCATTTCAGTCGTTATAAGCCCAATTCTTTACATAACTCTTCGTATTTCCGTCGTTTCTCTTTCGCAATTTGTGCGTTTCTACGACGAACTTTTTCAAACTGTAAATGAAAAGATTCATCCGCGACAATAGACAAATAAATACCCGATACACGGAATTTCATAAATAAAATATGAATAATAAATAACTTTGACCTCTGAGCCAAGACAAGCGTTCAATTCTATTTTTATCTTATTACATTTTCCAAAGTACCGGTTATAGAACCCACTTTTATGACATTCTTCCAATCGACGAATTATTTCCACGCATGCATCTTTTTTATTCAATCCTTAATTAGGATTATTCACATCAAGATCTATTTACGAATTAGATGCCTACTTACCTTCGTGTTTATGATATGCTAAAGAGGGGTGCATGTTGAAAAATTCAGTGATAAATAAGAGAGCAAGGAAAAAGTGTATCCAACGATTCAATGGAAAATTCAAAAATGTGAGTCATCAATAATTATATATATTTTATATAAATAAAAAATCGACTAAAATATAAAAATGGGGAGGTGGCCGAGCGGTCTAAGGCGCCACGTTAAGGCCGTGGTCTCTTCGGAGGCGTGGGTTCGAATCCCACCCTCCTCATATAATAATTTATCTTCAATTTTGTCATGCAATAAAATATTTTTTTGTCTATCAATTTCACATTTTTTGTCTATCAATACACATTATCAAATAACCACGTTTGTAACATTTGCACAACTTTCACACGAACAGACCTTTTTCAACTACGTAAAAGATACAAATTATTTTAATGACATTTTATCGATTATTATATAAAATTATATAAATCTACTCATCCAATCCGCAGGAAAAATAGAAAGATTTGGTGGCAATGAACGATACATTAGTGCATTATGATTCATATTATCCGCCCATATGACTCTTAGACGAGAATTCGTCACTATTTCTTCCCGTTGTTTCTCTTTGTCCGTTTCATTAAATCGTTCTCGACGCGATGTCTTTAATCAAAAGATGAATTAGAATTAGAATTAGAATTAATCAATAAATCTCGATATATAATGTTTCATTTATAATTTGATTAAATACCAATTTTCGCTTTTTTAATACTGAGCGAGGTCGAACGTATTCAATTGATATTTCTGGATTTTGTGGTATAGGATATCGCAATCCACAACAATCCAACCGTTGATACTTCTACTTGTATTATGTAAAGATGGTGAGTTAGTTAAAGTTCAAACCTTCTGAAAACAAACTGATTATTTTATTTGATAAGAATCAATACCCTATAGCCTTCTTCATACTCATCAAATGCCTCCCCACAACCTCTTTTTCTCAACATCCGAGCTCTCATATTCACCACATCTTTCCATTTTTGAAAGTACTTTTTCATCAAATGCTGCCGTCGGAAGATTAATACACGATTTTCAGCTTCGCGTCTTCGTCTTTGTTTTTTTGCAATTTTTCGCCACTTGGATGCATATTTTCGTTTTTGAATTTGATTTTTTCCAAGCATATTTAAAATTTGAAAGATATCATTAACACGCTCGTATCTGCGGGCATTGACCAATAACTATCAATATAACATTGTATATCAATTAACAATTTAGTTCGTCTTCAATCACATTATTAAACTACAAGAATAATAAATATTCAACACAAGAACGTGCTTGTAAATAATACAAGCCTTCTTCACGATTCGAAACCCTCTATGCGCTAATATAGAGCTAACTTGATCCCCGTTACGTGCTATATTAGAAGTAACTTGGACTCCTCCACGTGTGCGAATGGATCCAAGTCGTTCCTTCCTACGTGCAAGGTAACTAGCTTGATCTGTACTCACGAAATTAGACATAACTTGGACTCCTGTACTTCCATTACTTGCTAAATTAAAAGTAACTTATTCACCTGCACGATCGTAATTAAAAGTAAATGATTGCCAAGACCTTTGACCGTTTCCTAAATTTCTGCTATGAGGCATTTTATTTTACTCGCAACCCCCTAGTTTGCCGTTAAACCCTTGACTCGGTTGGAGGGATAGAAAGACTGTTGCTTAATTCGAATAATTGTTAATTGAGTTGGGTAGATATAGACCGTTTCAAGAGATAATAATATAATATTTCACTAATAGATGTTCTTTACAGATTAAAAGGTTCTTATGAAAGAGTATAAAGTTTACTTCAAGACTGAAATACTGGAAATGAAGGAGTTTAGTGTTTAATAAAAAAACGCGTAATAGGATCCTTTCACACAAGTGTAAAGTGAAACGCGTGAATTTTTTTCGTGTTAAAAAACCGAAAGTTACGTGTAATTTGTGTAATTTCTAATCGAGATCAGCATTATTTGCATTAATATATTTAATTTCAAATTTATAATCTCTCATCATGAGACTCTGAATCTGATCCTTTTTCGTAAATAATGTGTTTTCCGTGTTCAGGTTTTGGTTCTTGTTTCAATTGCTAACAAAAAAAGTTAAAACAACATAAAGATTAAAGAATGTTTCGACCGAAATGATTAATAATACAAATGCATACATATCCTGGAAAGTCATATTCGATCCCCAATTTTTGCAAATTTTTTCTCCTCTCGGAATCTTTTAAAAGTAATCGTTGATTTTGACGTTCTTTTTCCTCCGGCGTTTTTTTCCGATTATGCTTTTTCGCTTCGATTTTTATATAATCCACCGGGACGAATTTCTTGTTGGCACCTACCCAAAGGTTTTCATGGATTTGTTCTTCTGGTACAATTTTACCTTGTTAAGTGGAAAATTATTAGATTTTGGAGTATATAATTGATCTATACATAAACATTCATTTCGTTGTGATGACTCACATTGCAATATACTTTCATATAAAATATAATTATTCATTGTCTCTGCAACTATTTGCGCAACTTCATCAGATGCAAATTCAATAAATGCATAATGTTTGGATTTACCAGTCTATATATATATATGTATATGTATGTGTGTGTAAGGAGAGGTGAGAAAAATTAATGAAATAAATTAGAAATTAAATTAAAAAATACCTTTCTATTTCGAGATAATCTCAATCGAGTGACAGTACCAAATTGACTGAAATAAGCATGCATTTCTTCTTCATAAAATCCGTGCGGAATTCTTCCAAGGTAGACAACACCTCGTTTCATTTCTTCTCCCTGGATTTTCATTTGATATTTATAATAGTTATGAATCTAATATATGCTATTAAATTATTTACCTTATTTTTTAAAGCATCAAGTCGATTCCTTAAATTTTTTTCATCTTTAGGATCTAGTGGAATCACCGGAACATTATCTGCAAATAAATCTTTATCAACATGATTATCCTCGTCAGAACTGTCTTCTCCTTCATCACTACTACTATTATCAACTATGATATTAAATCTTTGTAACAATGATCCTTCTCCTTTTTTTTTTTCTTCTTCATCCTCATCCTCATCCTCATTTTCATTATCATCATAGTCATCAACATCGTCGTCGTCGTCGTCATTTTCTATGTTTAGTACAACTTTAGCCTTTTTGTGTTCTTTATCATCGTTTTTCGATGATTTTTTCCCTGGTAACTTCTCCGATTTTTGATTTTTATTATCATTTTCTGCAATTTTATGTTTCTTTTCATTATTTTTCAAAGATCTTGTTTTTAGTGATTTGTCGGAGGATATATCTTTTTTGTTGGTTGTATTTGTTTTTTTAGTTATTTTTTTGGTTTTTCTGGTAGAGATATTATCGGTTTGTATCTCTGCTTTCCTTTTTTTAGGAGCTAATAAAAGAATATCATGAGTAATTTCATTTGTTCAAAATTCAATCAATGAATTTTTTATAAGTTTGTGAACCTGCAATTGTATCTTTCGTCATGTTTATCTTGTTAAAAAAAAAAAGAAATTTTTCGCTGGTAGATCGTCACTTGTATGGACTCCAATTGGATATGTGCTGGGTAGAAATTACATCAAAAATTTCGAAGAAAAATTAACAATATCGATAATATGGAAGACGATCCCCCAGATTACTTACCAACAGAACTGCCTTCAATTGGTATACTTCAAAACCCGACAATTACACAAGTACAGGACGACCGTCAATACAAATCGTAAAGTAACCATTCAAAAGGCAGTTTTAGACATTCCTCGTCAGTATGTCAGTGAAATCTATTATTAATTGACAGTTTCAAATATAAAATACAGTTGGATATGTTTGTACCCGGTCTACTTTGACTCGACTAAATCGGTGCAACATGGACGTAAAGTGGTTCGAGAACAGGCCGTTCCCAATCCTCTCGCACAAAATATCGCGGAGGCTGTAAAAGAATTAGGGCTTTCTGTTTTATTCGAGGTATACAGAATAAATATTCTTGTTCATTATTAATCCAAACAATAAAAAAAACTAAATTCGTATGTAGCCTGAAAAGACACATCCCAGAGATTGGGGAAATCCGGGACGCGTACGCGTGTCATTAAGGAATCAAAATATCCCTATCAACCCATCAATTCCCACGCGTAAGCTATCTACTCGTTTAATTAATTGAGGTCTTATATTTCGATTCATACCTATGATATATAGTCGTGTTATTTTAAATTACGTTTTGTAGGTAAAGAGTTGATAAAGAAGGTTTCAACATTATTATCGGCGGTTCAAGAAAATAATAAATTGCCATTTCCACCAAAGCATTCGCCCGCCGTATCGTCAGGTCTGCTTAAAGATAATGCTGGATCATCTACTGCTTCTGCTACTTCAAGTTCGGTTAATGCTTCTAGTAGTAACAGTGCTGCTGCTGCTGCTAGCGGTGGAGCATCACAAGGTTCGTCGAGTAGCACTCAGACTCAAAAGAAAAAAGGAAGAAAAGGCAGAAAATAATTCAGTCTTTTATATTTTATTTAAAATTCTTCTTAAACAATAAATAATTTGTTCTATCGAATTTACAATGAGTGGTTGTAATCGAGTACATTATACGGAGAGAAGTATTAATCTTGTATAGTATCATATAATCTATCCCCGGCATCACCTGAATAACATAAAAGGTGTTAAAAAAATCATGATACGTTGAAATAAATGATGCATAATTTATACAGACCTAATCCTGGTACGATATAACCACGTTCGTCCAAGATTCCATCTACCACACCAACGAACACTTCGACATCTGGATATTTTTCTGTTAATTTTTCAAGACCCTACAGACATATAATATTTGAATTAATGATAATACCATGCTAAATCTATTTTTAAACAATGATTTTCTTACCAGTTTAGACGCGCACGCGGTAATAAATTTGATTTTACTTTTTATGCCCCAATCTTTAAGAATCGATACGGTTGCTATTGCAGTTCCACCTGTAGCGATCATAGGTTCCAAAACTATTACTTGATCAACATTTGGCACATTGGGAAGTTTATTGTAATATTCAACAGGCTGCAAAGAGACCTATAATTGAAACAAATGTTGTTGGTATCGATTAATCTTTTCATCGAAATATCGTATTCGAAATGAAAAAGGTCACCTTTTCTCGGAAAATTCCAAGATGCAATATTCGTGCAGAGGGGATTAAAGTTTCCAAAGCTAATCATATAAGCTAATTAAACTGGTTGATAAATTAAATCAAAATTCAAGTACTTTTTGTGCGAAATCTAACCATTCACGAAGCTAAGTCCAGATCTGAGAATGGGTACAAGACCAATTTTGCCGGCCAATTCAGTAGCAGTATAAACTTTCTTTGGACTTTCTAACTATCGTCATTTTAGAAAAGCGTCGAAAACACGTCAATGAAAATACAAAACTGATAAGGAGAATTACTGAAGGTTAAAATTGTTACCGTGACTGTTTGCTTAATTGGCAAATCAGCCGTAGCTTCATATGCAAGCAAGTGTCCGATTTCATGTAGAAGTTCTCTAAATTGCTTCGGTTTAGTATTCTTATTGCGAAGTATTGAGATTTTGTGAGCGACGAGAGGATGTCGCGAGGCATGTATATTCGACATCTCGTAAATTTAGTGAAATGGTTCTTGAAGAGCGAGAATATAATTAATGAATTGATCTGCAGCTGGGAAAACTTAAATGGTTAACGTTGATAACTAAAGGTATTCGAATCATAAAACTTGAGGGTAATGCGGCACTGAATTTTATTTAAAATCCGCAATATCAAATCAAGATGGTCTTCGGTCTCACGCGTCCTACTTTTATAAAATGTAAGACCGTGGTGTAACATGCTTTCATTATTTTCGTTAGCGTTAGTCATTAAATTGTTAAACGGATTACGATTAGAAAATTAATTGTCACATACTTTTTCTCCTATACAAAAGACCGGTCCGTCTTTTATCAAGATCATAAGACATTTTTATAAAATTCATATGGTCCGGAAGTTTTCCTATGTTCATTTCCGACGGTAACTTCTATTGGAAGTTTTTCCGTGCATTGTCATGTGTCCGACCCATTTCCGAAGGCAATCCCTATTTTAATAGTTTTTCTCCGGTCCTAAGGAAGGGTATACAAGATTGCGTAACATAGAAATTTATTCCTCTAAGTGCTCGATAATGCCCATCATCGTGGACCACTCACCTTTCTTTAGCATTTTCCTTTACTACTTATCGCTCTATAAGACACATTATAACGAATACGTTCCGATCTAATTTTTCCTATTGTGAAACGAACAATGGCTGAACCACAGGATCATACGAATTTGCTTCAAAAAATCTTGGAATCTGTCGAATCCCTGAAACAAGACCAGGTTGCATTGACCACTAAGGTAAAGCGTGAATTAATTAAGAGTAATTCATCTTATTTAATTGCAGAACAAATTTGTATTTAAAAATGTCAAAAGGTTGCCAAATATCAAGAAAAAAATGAGGAAGAGTTAAAGAAATTGCAAGAGAGTTTAATCCCAACCACGAGTGTCGCTACTATTACAACACCTGTCGTTTCTAACTTTAATCAAAGTAAAAATAAATGAGTATTTTTATTGTCTTTCTTAATATGGGGCCGTCAGTAAAAACAAAGCAAATTTGCTTTGTTTTTACTGACGGCCCCATATATTGAATTAAATTCGATTCATCTCTAATTAAACATTAATCAGATACAGTCAGTACAGATATACAAAAACCTACTTCTCCCTCAGATATTCCGCATAAATCCCATTATGCAGATCGCGTAATATTGACAAGTAAACGCGTTTTTCATTAAAATCCTGAGTCTTTGGAATTTCCTTTACGCTTAATTGATGAATTTAATTTTAATTAGCATATCCTGGACAATTTGGGATAAAGCCAATTCCTCTTAGTTGGGCTGAATTAGATCCTAATCGTCGTGGACCAGTTCTTGCATCACGTCATCCAACCAGCATAAAAGTGCGGTATGTTTGATGAGTATTTATTTGATTAATAGTATATTTTAACAATTGAATTTTATCTCTTTTCTTTAATTAAAATGATAGTAATGCGATTGGAGCATATGGTGGCTCTTATAGTGTATATCGTGCTTTAGCTGTTGCAATGAACGCTCTTGATCCAAATCATCGACCTGACTTTAGAAACACGGAACCTAGTGTCACATTAGGTCCACATCCTCAATGGGGTGACCCTTCTAAAATCGTCTCTTTTGACCCTTTTGGTCATCTTACCACTTCTCTTTTCTCTAAATATCTGGAGGAAGGATTGGATATTCGTCCAACTATCGCCATCACTAAAGCTCACATGCAATTAGCAGAGATTGAGAAAGCCGTCGGGGAAGGTCGATTGAACGTCGATGGAAAAATCGTATTGAATAATAAAGGAGAATTAAATGTTCTCAAAGCAGCTGTTGAACCTGTATGGTATTTGCCCGGAGTTGCTGCTCGATTTGGAATTGAGGAAGGATTACTTCGTCGTGCTTTGTTTGAAGATACTGGTGGCATGTATCCTGAATTGATCACGCGTCCGGATCTTAAAGTATTTTTACCACCTATCGGAGGATTCACTGTTTATATTTTTGGAAATCATGAATTCATTTCTGATCCAAATAAGAGGCTTACTGTACGTGTGCATGATGAATGTAATGGCTCTGATGTGTTTGGCTCAGATATTTGCACTTGTCGACCTTATCTAATATTTGGTATGGAAGAGTCTGTTAAAGAGGCTCAAAATGGTGGCGCAGGTGTCGTCGTCTATTGTAGGTTATATTTATTTAGATATCGTCATATTATACGATTTTATATCTTTTTTCTAGTTTTACATATAATTGTTATTTATAGTCAGAAAAGAGGGCCGTGCTCTTGGTGAAGTGACAAAATATTTGGTGTATAATGCACGCAAACGCTCTTCTGGAGGTGATACAGCAGACAATTATTTCTTACGTACAGGTAGTATTTTTAATCAATTGTTAAAAATATATTTATAAACTAACTAAATGATAAATTATTATCAGAAAATGTAGCTGGAGTTAAAGATGTGCGATTTCAAGCATTGATGCCAGACGTTTTACATTGGCTCGGTATCACAAAGATCGACAGAATGATGTCAATGTCAAACATGAAATACGATGCCATTGTGAAATCCGGTATTCCGATTATTGAGCGTGTACCTATCCCCGATGAGCTCATTCCGCCTGATTCGCGCGTCGAGATTGATGCCAAAATTGCAGATGGTTATTTTAGTACCGGAAAAAAAATTCCCACCAAACAGGAATTGGCACAAATTCGCGGAAGAGAATGGGATGATCTTCAACACTAGAATTTTATTCACTTCATATCCTTGCATCTCGCTGTTTGATGTATTATTGATATACCAAAGGTTGTACAATTTTAAATTATATGTTATTTAATTTCAATAAAGTTTTGTTTCTTAATTTTTGAGTTATTGATTACCATATGATGGCATGCATTACTCTGGAATTATGCTACCAATTTAACAACGCATCCAGCCTTTTTGATTTTATTCTGCAACATGTAACACATATCTAGCCTTCACCATAACAAGGTTACGTCCTTTGCCAAATCCCTGAAAACTTTATTAATAGCAAAATAATATTTCCGTAAAGTGCTCGAAATAACAAGTAACAAGCAACTTATGGCATGGCGCGTATCAATCACTGGGGTAACATCTTTTCTTCAACATATTCTTTGCGTGTTTGCGTTTGCTCGGTGACCAAAGTCATCTATCTAATCTATCACATTTACCGTAAAAGTCGGACATAAGGTACCCGGGGTATTTCCATAATTCGATTTAGTACCCAAGGTATTTCTATAGAGGTATATACTGTATTAATAGGTACTTATGTCGGGCTGAACGATCTCTAAGTTGCTTCCAAAGGCCCAATCTTCTTGAGCAGGACAGCGGCTCTAGGGTTAAACCTAACGGCTGTTGAATGGGTTTTTGGAAGCTTTTTTTTTCTTCGAATTTGTCATGTAAAAATTATGCTGTACAATGCTCTCCTGTATCTAATACCCGGGTATAAATCACAATCTGGCCTTTAAAAATGGTGATGGGTAGGTACATCCCATGGGGGGGGGGGGGTTTACCTATGTCCGACTTTTACGGTTCTTAGTATGTTTAAGAAAATCATTACCAACATCAAATACGGATCAACACGCCCATGACCAGCGGAAACGTGGCCTCGCTTCTTTTTGTACTCTTCAAACCTTGTAGTCTACATAATCAAGATCTTATTATCATTCTTGGTGTTATTTCATATAATAAACCAAATCAATTGAAAAAATTCACCATATTTCCAAAGACACTGAGAATATGGAATAATTAATGATATCATGTGATCCAAAACAAGACAAAAATTTGACATCCACTGTAAATAACATTTGCTTTTTCTTCATCTCAGTATATTTTCTATTAGTTGTTTTATTAGTGATAAATAATTATTAAGCTTAGAATTTAAAAATTACATAAAGGACAAAGAACGACCCTTTAAATATCAAAAAATGCAAGCATTCGTTATATAATTAATTAGTCGTTATAGTCTGCCATTATTAGAGGTAATAAATTATTGAATATCCCAAACTATCATAACTAAATTATTTGACCGAATGTAAACAAGGTGAAAAAATACAAGGTTCGATGAATATATATAAGTAACTTGATTAATTAAGACAAATTTTTTTGATCGAGTATGATGATGATGATGATGATGATGATGATGATGTAGTTATAAACGACAATTATTGTGTTCTAAGATGATAGATATTATTATTGTGATAAGAAGGATGATGATGATGATGATGACGATGACGAGGAAAATAAACCATTTTCTTTTTATGTTGTACATAAACACACACACCCACCCACCAAAAATTATTTACTCTTTACAGTAGGCCACAATCTCGCAGATTGGTTTGAATGATAATATCATTAACAGCCGCCATCACAAATTTTATTTGCTGAGTATCGGTGGCACATGTGAAATGTGTATAAATTTGTTTGACGTCTGACTGATTGAGCGAAACAAATCGATTCAGTATATAATCGCATGCTGCATCGTAATTATCGCCGCCTTCATAGTCAGGGAAATATGTATTCATTGGCGAATGAGGAAGTTTCTCCTTGAATCGATCAATCTTATTCAGGAATAGAATGATCGATGTTTTTACGAACCATCGCGAATTGCAGATCGAGTCAAATAATGTTAAAGCTTCTTGCATACGATTCTATAGAAATTGATTATTGATTAATTTAAACAATTTTTCATTTTAAATAAATAATATGAAGATTGACTCAAAGAAAATAAATACTTACCATAGTCTCATCTTCCAATAATAATTGATCATATTCAGATATGGCAACTAGGAATACGATTGCTGTCACGTTTTCAAAACAATGAATCCATTTCTTACGTTCAGATCGTTGACCACCGACATCAAACATTCGATAAGTCAATTCACCGATCAAGAAGGTGGTCTCCGTGATACCAGTAGTTTTTACGCGAGACCGAAGCACATCTTGTTCCTCTGGAAGATAATCTGGTTGTGCAATGCGATCAATCGAGTCAAAATAACTAGATGATAAAGATGATTATTATCGTTAAATAAATTATGATTATGAATCTTCGCGTATTATTCGAATCAAACTTACTATTTAGCTGAATCGTTCAATTGGTATTCGCGTGACCGACTGAAACATTCTTGTACACCACGATCGGTCCATAGACTTTTAATAGCATTTGAGACATCTTGTGGTAAATGGTCACCCTCAATCTGACTGGGTAAATGTAAAATGACATTCGCGTGTTTTTGGCTACTCTCGTTACGTAGTGATAAACCCATACTCTCCATTGCCTCTAAAATAACACGCATAGATTGAACTGTATTCGAGAAAATAATCTCTTTAAATGACTCGCGTTCTTCTTGTGAATATCCACCATCGTGAATAAGTTTCATTTGTTTCAAAATTGTGGATTTGCCTGATTCACCAGCACCTGTATTGTTTCGTATTCATATTTTTGGAGAGAATTAGATTATAAGATGACTCATCCGCAATTTCGTAATGAATTCGTACCTAGCAAAAGCATTTTGACTTCATTTCTCATTGAAAGCCTGTCGCGTCTAAGTTGATTCTCAATTTCATCATTCTTGCGTCTTCCTTCTTTTTCCTCTTGGCTCATACAGCAACCCATATTTATACTTGTTCTTGTTGTTGCGGTTGCTGTGGTTGTTGTCGGTGTTTATAAATATGAGAAAGAATGATTTGTATAATTTTTTTTGTATCGATATACTAGGCGAAAAGGAATTTTTGGAAAACCCAAGTGTAGGCTTTTTTTCGTAGATGTGTGTGTACTCTGTATGTGTATTTTTGTATATATATGTATAAATATATAATAGTTTGCCGTCTCTTGGTGTAGTTTGATTTATGGTCGGCGACGACGGCAATGAAAGACTTTAAGGAATGCAATAAGAAAATAAAACAAAAATTATGTAGGGAAAAGAGATAGAGGGAAACTAGTATTGATAGGTGGCAATAATATATATTATACGAGCAACTATAATATATTTATTAATATTATTCTTATGAAAAACACGTGTGAGATATGAAGAAAAGGAAAGGAGTTATTTTCAAGTGCAAGGGTTATGATTGTTTTGACAAAAGAAATCTCGAATGGAGTGTACTAATATTTCGAATAAAAAGTACGTGTAACTTTAATTTAAATTATGTGCAACAAACATAATTAACACATCAATTGAGAGTCCGTAAAGATATATAAAGATATAGAAAGATATAGCATACACGTTCACAGATTTTTTTTAATGTGCGTAATACGGGCGCCATATAATTGATGTCGTGAAATTTCTAATTCCTTAAGGCAAATTTCACAAAGAACGTGGTAAGGGATTTCAGATTTCATTGTGAGATTAGTAAATTGTTTGTGTACATTCGTAGTGTATGAAAGACAAAGTCAAAATTTGTTTTTATTTTAGGTTGCATAACCGATGATGATCACATCCGATGATGATCACATCCACATTCGCTTTTTTGCAAAATGACCACATGTAATATCGTTTTACTTGACATTGAAGGAACTACCACACCAATATCTTTTATTCATGATTGTTTGGTTAGTAGTTGATCTTGACCGAGTTATTATTATGAACGTAATTACATTAATGTTCACGTTATTTCAAGTTTCCCTACGTTACCGAGAATTTAACGGGTTTCTTGAAAGAAAACTGGAATTCGTCAGAATTCCAAAGTTATATTCAGTTACTTCGAGAGCAGGTACTCGACTATTTTGTCAAATTCTTTAATTTTATGTATTTCACAAAAGAATGTTTAACCTTATGATCGGCAAGACAGGCATTAAAAGATGTTGAGAACGGGATGACAGATGCAGTAATCATCCCAAAAGAGAGTGAAAGGTACTGAATTTTTTTGATCAAATTTTTCGATTATTGATTCTCTAACAATACCTCTCTCTTTCTTGTCTTGATAGTGATGTAAAATCAATTCAACACGCAGTCACAAACAATATTCAGTGGCAAATGCGTGTGGATCGGAAAATTGCCGCGTTGAAATCATTTCAGGGATACATGTGGAAATCAGGATTTGTTTCGGGTGAATTGAAGGGTGTGTAAGTATTAGTCCAGATATTCTCGAGAAATTATTTACGTATATATATATAGTTTTCATTCTTTTTAACAAAAATAATAGCATTTATGATGACGTTGTAACGGCATTTAAGCAATGGAAAGATGCAGGCATAAATATATATATATATTCTTCTGGTAGTGTTGCAGCACAGAAACTATTATTTGCGTATTCGGATAAGGGAAATTTATCGGAGGTATGTATTTACGTGAGCTTTTGTGTGTGTTTTAATTAATAAAAAAAGTATTTTTTTAGTATATAGATGGTTATTTTGATACAACTATCGGTTCGAAACTCGAGAGTCAAAGTTATTTGAATATTTATAATGAGATTGGAATTCAGTCTCCACCATCTTCGATATTATTCCTAAGCGATAATATTAATGGTATTGAACTTAGTTGTGATTTGATTCGAATATAATTAATATTCATCGCTAATCAATCGACGAAATAATTGTAGAAATAATTGCAGCAAAAAAGGCCGGATTACAAACTGCAATTGTTGAAAGACCCGGAAATCCACCTTTAAATTTTAATAATGGCAGTAACAACGAACATATCTTAGTAATACATAGTTTTCTTGAGGTGTTTACCAACCGTCAATAATAATTTGATACGCCAAAAAATTATATTTTGAGCTGTTCATCACCCAATCAAGCAATGTCCTCGTTCAGGTAAAAAATTTCTTTGCTCTCTTCGCAATTGTCGACAGGTATTTATTTTTTGATGATTTATTCTCCCACAATACATACGAGCGAATCTTTTATTATTCATATCATGCAAAACATCAGACATTCTATATTTCTGCAACCTGCAGTGGTTTCCAGACTTAATTGTCCTTCTATATATAATAAACGGACATAGTATGGACAGTTTGAGATAGGGCTCGGTTTTTTTACAGCCGTTATCTACCGAAATTACCGATATCTTTCATGTCGAGAATATCCATTTGAAAAATTCTTTGCTACAGTGCGAAACATAGAAATTTAAAAAATTCAAAATATTTGTGATTCACACATCAGAATTTTAAAAAAATGCCACCATTAAAAATTAATTAGCGTCTCGTTTTCTTGACAAATTTTATCGAACCCAATCAAATTTCCCAATTTGGATTCTGAATTTTCATTATATCCGATTAGAGTCATGGTAAGGGTAAGATAATGAGTGAGAAAACAAGATTATATGTAAATTTGCCTTCCCGACATTTTAATTAATAGTCCAAAACAGATTTATGCATCAGGTTTCTCGTAATATCACTTTTTTCATCTTTTTGCCGGACTGATCTGAAATTTGTGCATTCTTATTTGAAATTGGGTTCGATAAAATTTGTCCATTTTATATCGATAGTCTCAATTTGGAAATGTCTGAATCCTTACCATTCGATTCGAATAATCTTAATGGGATTACCGACCGATCAGTTTACCAATCGGTCGGTAACGATTTTTATCAAACCATTCGAAGAAAATACTTGGTGCCTCTTTAAAGGCACACTTTTCTGGTCCCGAAGACGTGATTACGTGCAAAAGAATCTTTTTTATTTCATTCAGAAAAACAAGAACTTTATTCGTTTTTCTATGGTGCAGAAAGTCTAGATATCAAATACTGCGTCACTGCCTAAATTTTTTTTTTGAAGGATTATCATTTCCAAATAAGTTATTATATGCAATGCTAAGAATTTTACATTAAAAATGATCATGTAATTTTACATAATGAAATCTAGCCAATCAAAAATAACGCACGTGATATTTTGGGTGCTGAAAATCTTATTAAAATTGATGTATAAAAAAATACGTAATATTATAAGGCTATTTAATAATGTATTTATTTTAATGATTATATATTTAAAATAAAATTTCTTTAGTTCAAAGTATTTGATGTCTCTAGACTTTTCGCACCATATACATCCTTTCTTGGGCAATTAAAATCTCAAATAAAAAGTGTAGAAATGTGGCGATGGGAAAAAATCCTTTTTCCGAGAAACGTGTTTTATATCTGATGATTTGATCGCCGATCAACATGTGAGTGAAAATTGGACATGATTATTAATTAATCTTTGATGTTACGTGATCGATGAATATAGGAATTGATACTGGAATCGCTAATTTCCATTTTTTTTTGGAATGGCATCATCATCGACCAATCATCTTTGACAATAAAAAAAAAATTGCTGCGAATTCAAATATATAAAGCATCGTTTATTTCCTTTGTCCCTCACACAAACGAGATTTCCACTTGTGTTCTTATAATCAAATTTCTTTTAATCTAATTTCTTATAATCTAAAGTCTACAAAATGCCTATCCGTCTTGGTACCAGTGCTCCAAACTTCCAAGCACAAACTACCAAAGGACCAATTGACTTTCACCAGTTTATTGGTAATTCGTGGGTTGTTTTGTTCTCGCATCCTGCTGATTTTAGTAAGTATTCATTATTGTTATTCATTCTATCATCTTTCTTTTTTGAAAGAATCACTTGATTTATTATTGTCAAAGGAAGGAGTCTTTATAGCATTCAGATATTTGAAGTATACTACAAAATATCAGAGTAAATCCAATTACAATAGAAAATAAACTGACACTAAATTAAAACCTTCACCGTTAGCCCCGGTTTGCACAACCGAACTTGGTGAAGTTGCCCGTCGTCAATCAGACTTTGACTCACGTGGTGTAAAATTGATTGGTCTGTCGGCCAACAAATTAGAAGATCACAATAAATGGATAGCAGACATTAACGAGATCAACAACGTCGATCTGTCATTCCCAATCATTGCCGATTATGAACGTAAAGTTTCGGCACTCTACGATATGTTGGATTATCAAGATATCACGAATGTTGATACGGCGGGAGTCCCGTTCACCGTCAGAAGTGTGTTTGTTGTTGACCCAAAGAAAACCATCCGTTTGATTCTTTCTTACCCAGCTTCTACCGGTAAATTTAAGTTATTATATTGTATCATATTCTATTCAAATTTGCTAATTTTCAACTTAAAATTAATGTAATCCAACAGGTCGTAACTTTGATGAGCTCGTTCGTGTTATCGATTCTCTCCAATTAGGCGACAAGCATCGTATCACTACTCCAGCTAACTGGAGAAAAGGTGATGATGTTATTGTCCATCCAAGTGTCACCAACGAGGAAGCTGAAAAATTGTTTCCTGGTTTCAAGACTGTGAAGCCATATCTTCGTCTCGCTAAATCTCCGTTCTAGATAATTATCATAATGATCAACAAAAATTCAGATATTAAATTATTTAATCTTTATGATCTAAAAAAATATGTATATTATTTATATAAATAACGAAATGCGTATTATGCATCATTAAGTATGGTTTGATGGGTATCAAATTTTGCGATCTCCTGATCATTCAGAAAAATCAAATAATAATGAGTTTAATTCGCTAAATCATTATACTATTTTACAGTTGCTAACGTGTCTTGAAGGACAAATTATCTGATATGAAAATCCCACATTAGCAAAAAGTTAATTTCGCAGATTTTTTTGGTATATTTAATATTGAGCATCTTTTATCAACACCTGATAATCGTTTGGTGATTAAACCCCTAAAAGAGAAGCAGAGATAAAATAATAAAAATAATAAAAATCTAAAGGTATAGAGAAAGTGGTGGACGAAGGAGGAAACCTAGTAGTAAGAAGGGAGGCCGAGACTGTATAAATATTTTCAATAATATGGTCGACGAGGATTGTTCTAGGAAGGGCAAAGCGTTAGTAGTGCACCACTATCATTTTTATATTCTATCTATCTTTCTACATAGATATAGATATATACATCTAATATTTACATAAATACAAAATCTTATGGTACATAATATGATACAAAAATTTCTGGTGATGATAACAATATATTATAATAATAATAATCATAATAATAAAATAATACGAAAATCACATACCAGAGGATTAGGTCTAAATCTGTATGCAAGCATCATTCTCTTTCGATAAATTTCAAATTCATCATCCTCCTCTTCCACTCCATCTGGTTTCGTTTGACCTAAACCAGCATTGGCAGGACGAGTATCAGCTCTAATATTTTAAGGTATTAATATAAATATGGCGATGACAATGATGATGATGATGATAATCTAAGGAGATAATTTACTTATTTATAGGTGCAGCAATTCCCTCGCCAGATTTCCCAAGTCCTGATCCTGCCTGCCATCCTTGTTTCATCAACATTTTGAACCCAATATTCGTTGGGTCCAACTTATTATTTGCATAATCTTCATAACTGGGAGAAACTTCGCCCGTTTTGACCGCCTTCACTTTTGACTCAAATTTATGTAATTCTTCTTTTGGCAGAAAATCAGCAATATGGTGTGCGCGTTTAGCCTCTGCCTGTTGCGTCAAAAGTGCTGCTTGATCTTTGTTTCGTTGAGAAGAAAAATTATCATTAACAACTATCGAATTTTCTCGCAAAAAAAATCCCAATAAATTACATCCAATTGTCTTCTTGCTTACCGGCAGTTCGTTTCATTTCTTCGGCACGTTTCTTATGTTCCCATGTTCCACCATCGATTATTTCATCTTCTGGATACACCCATTTAGATCCAACTTTGATCATTCCCGGTTTATAAGTATCCGAAAATTTAGCAAATTGACGTTTATCAGCAGATGTGTATATTTGTGATGGAGCTGAATTACTTTTCGCTGTGCTCATTATTGGAGTTGTTGTCGAAGAAAGTACAGAAGAGGGAGATAAGGTAGAATTGGAAGATACTAAAACCGGCGTGTAGCCTGAAATATTACGTAGACCATCATCATTACCACCAGCAGCACTACTGTTACTACTGCTGCTGCTGCTACTACTGCTGTTACTTGCATTAACAGTGGAAGATTGTGGTGTTGTTGGAATAGTAGCAGTTTGATTTGATCCTGCTTGATCCCATCGACTTCTTTTTCGTTTCTTTTTATCCGCTTCTATCTCTGTCGTAGGTAATGGTTTTTGTTCTTGTTGATTATTAGGGATGTGGGTGTTCAATGACTGCTGCGAGGTTACATGATTAGGTTGTGGGGTTGAAGTCGTGGTTTCTAACTTAACATTAGGCGCTGTAGAACTCTCTGAATGTAATTCAAGACTTCTATCTACTTCGTCTTCGCCTAATTTCACTGGCTGTGGCGGTTTCAATACCGAAAAGTTTATCTTCGGTGGATTACTACTATTACTTGTTTTAGCTGTTGAATTTCCTAATGTCTTGTTGTTGATACTAACACCACCACGATTGGAATCGACTTCCTTATTATTCTTTGTGTTATAATATTCGCTTTTTGCATCGTCGCCGGAAGATAGATTTTTTGATGTGTGAATCGCTTCGAAAATAAGATTTTGCTCACTCATCTTTTGACTTTTTCCTAAAGCCTCACACTCACTATTTATTATATATATTATTGGACTTTAGCGTTAGGGAATAGTAGCACAAAATCACATTAACCTTTCCCATAAAAAAGTACACGTGAATTTACGAATGCATTAAATCCTAAAATCCATAACGATAAAACTCATAAATATTTGTCTTGTAATTAAATCTATTATACAACCAAGGTCATTTGGCATTTTACTATCCAAGCACTTTTTGTTTCGCCTTCGCATATTTATGACCCGGGATAGCTTGTGTAACCTTTTATTACTCACCAATCAATATCACACGCATCACTCAGAAAACGCGTAAAGAAACGTAATTTCACAATTTCTCTTTTTAACAACTAATACATTTGTGTTCTTGTTTAAAATGTCGCGACTCAACGAACTTGTAAGAGAAGCAAAAAGAGCACGTGGTGAATTATACCCATATAATACCTCACTGGTTCATGAAATCTGCCGAGATATTACTCAACTACAAAATCATGTCATAAACGACACAAATCACAACAATAACGAAGAATCAGAACCGGGATATTCGAAAGAAGAAGAGGAGAAAGTTAGAGAGGCGATAAACTTAAATATCAATCTCACACAAAAAACAAGCAAACGAGCTTTACGAATATACCATTATCCTCGTGCTGAACGGGTAAAATTAAGATACTGGGCAGCAAAAACACTCAAAAAATCAGCACAAAAAAAACTTGCGACGCAAGAAACAGAGCTGTTTCAAACATATAGCGAAATTAGTAACAGATATTCTGAGGAGTTTATGGATGGGTTGGACTTGGGTAGTTCCTTAATGCCTCCTAAAGATTTAATGACTAGTGCTAGAGTGGTGGAGAATCGTGGTGGCTCAATTTTGACTGATGGTGGATATATCCATTATAGATATCTTATAAAATCATACAATCTTATCTAAACCAAATTTCTAGTTTTCTTTATGTGTCTGTCAGTGACAAAGTTGAATTTTTGTTTTGGTCATTATTTATTAAAATAAATTAAATTAAAATGTGAATTTCTTAGCTTTAATATTATTATTAGATTTTTGTTCCGAAAATAAATATAATCAAATTTTTTACAATCATATTTGTGACTCTAGCTGAAATTGTAAATAGTATTAGTTCAGTAACTTACAAAAACTATAACCAAATATTTTAATATAAGTATAAAATTTCTATTAAATCTTAATTAATAAAAACTTTTTCTTGAAAAAAATATATATTAAAATATGAATTATAGAAATCTCTTTCTAAGTGCATTATTTTCTTCAGAATCATATAAAAAACAAAACGTGTATTTAAAAAAAATGTGTATAAAAAGAATATTTAGAAAAAGTATTTTGTATTATTAATAAAATTTATAATATTTTAATAAAAATAAAATTTTTAATTTTAATATATTTTAATAGTAAATTTTGAAAATAATATACTATAATCAAATCTTTTTATAGTTATTATTCTTAAAAAAGCAAACTTGAATAATTATAAAAAGAATATAATTATAAAAAGTTTTTTTATTATATTTATGTTGTGTTCAAAATATCAATTGGCCCAATTGTCAAGCTGGGAAATCCAAATTCCAATTGGATTTTTGGGCAACTATTTTGTCTCAAATTCTAATTGGAATTTGAATCTATTACCAATTTCAATTTTTATTTGAGATAATCTAAATATTAATAAGATAATTAATTAATATAAATATGATTATATATCAATATAAATATTCTTTTCTTATTATTCAAACATTTAATAAAATTATTAATATATATTTATTAACTTTAAAAGAAAAAAGTAGATCAAAGACACTAATTACAAAGTTTATGATTAAAAAATATCTTCAAATTCTAATAAACTTTCAAAATATTTCTATTTTAAATCCTGAGACATGTTATTGGATTAAAAGTAATTTCTTATATCAAGTAATTAATGATATTATAAAATTATTACAAAAAGAAAAAATAATAAATAAATAAAAATCTGTAACTATAAAAGAAAGATTATATTATATTATTATAAAAGAATATTTATTTATTGAATATAGAGATATCAAAGCTACTTATAAATAAGTATTCAGTAAATATTATAATATTGTTACCATTATTATGATTGGAAATTTACATAATTTTTATAATTTACATAATTTCCATTTTTTATATAATTTTCATAATTTTCATAATTTAAATAATTTAAATAATTTCATAATTTCTATAACTTTCATAATTTTGATAATTATTACAATTACAGTAATTATTATCATTTACAACAATTACAATAATTACTATCATTTACAATAATTATCATAATTATCATAACTTATATAATATTTATTATTTATCAACTTATATAATTAATTATAAATATAATATTTATTAGTGAAAAATATTTATTATAAATAAAGCACAATTGAAGCTTTAAAAAAGATATCAATTGATCAATACAAAAATCTAGCTAGTTAATAAACTGTTTCTTGTTTATTCTTAATGAAATTTGTACATTTAATTGATTGAATAATAACTTATTAAAATACTTGTATTTATTGTGCACTATTGAACAACTACCAAAGTTGCTATAGAATATTAGTACTAAAGATAGCGCGGTAACTGTTGCAACATGGTGACAAATAAAATATCACCTAGTTGCAACTAGTTGCGGCTTATAAAATTTTGGAGTTGTAATGTGTTGCAACAGGTGACAAATAAGTGTTACGTACTTGCTACGCCATCTCTAATCAGTACTGTATTGCTATAAAACTGTTTCACACTAAGTAAAAATAATATCTATTAGTAATAGCGAGAGCCTATCTATAAGATAGAAGAAAATGCACTGCATGGTGATCTCAAAGTATACTTATTATAATGAGATCGGGTAATTGTAAAATTTTCATCATTAGATGTTAATTGAACATCTATATCATGATAACATCTATCAGAAGTTTGATCGTGATACTGTTTTACCTGGATTTCAAATATAATATATCTTTTTGTGCTCAACATGTGTAGTGTTCCTATGAACTGAACTGAACTGGACTTTTGCTCGAATTCGAAATTCGAACTGAACTCGAATCAGACTTTGACTTGAGTTCAAGAAAGATTTGAAGTTTGAACCAAACTCAAACTGAACTGTTATACGAGTTCGAGTCTGGTTCGAGTTTGATTAAAGATTGATATATAGTATTATATACCGATTTGTAGCTCTAAATATAAACTACAACTTTACTTATAAGCATAATTTATAGTATTTAGTAAGAATTAAAAGTTTATATAGTGATAACTAAAGTGTTTTTATTTTTATATTTATTAAATTTGATCGTAAATGCTATGTAACTATTTTATACCAATTTGTAGTTCTTATTTCTGACTATAACTTTACTTATAATTATAGTTTATAATTACTATAGCAAAATAAATGTTTATTATACTAAAACTAAAATAGATTAAAATTATAATAATTAAAATTATTTTTTAAATTCATATAACTTCTTAAAT